GAAATGGGCTGCTGGGGGACAGTGACTTCCCTTGTATTGGAGGTCTTCAGGCAAAGGCTGGGTGACCCCTTGCTGGAGATGTTTTGGAAGAGATTCTTGTCAAAGTATGGATTGGACAAGATCAGCAGTTCTCAACCTTGAGTACACATACCCTCAGGGGGTATCAGAAACTTATCAAGAGGGTACATGGAATATTTGGGAAATAACCCTTGCCCTATTGTGATTAATCTCTTTTTTAGGCAAACATGCATAGGAAAGTCTATAATATATTTACTTTTATATTGAATAGGGGCATAGGAAGGTTTATTGAAAGTCAAAGAATATGGGGTCCATAGAAGATCGGGAACTCTCCTGGGTGACATGGCTTCTGAAGTCCCTCCTGATGTTTAGATTCTGAACAAACAATGATGAAACATGTTTTTCTCTAAGTTTTTTTCTTTAATCATATAATGCTAACTCTGCATATTGAGAACATATTTCTTGCTTCCTGCATGAGGGGAAAATCAGACACGTCATCAACTGTAGCTGAGCGCCTCAAAACATCCTAACCAACCACATAGAAAAAACCCAGTTAAGATACTGGATTGACCAGTAATACAAAATATAAGTATATTGTCATAAAATAATAATTACAATTATAATAGTATAATATAAGCAACATTCAAGAGCTCAGAGGAATCAATAGAGAGAACCCAAGATCTCTTTTGAATTGTCTCTGCTGGATTGATAACACTTGTTTCCATTTGTCAACTCACTTTAGATCGTGGGCATCAGCCATTTTTCCTCCAACTGCTGTCAGAGTAGAACACCACCTATCTACCTAGACTTAGAGTCCAAAGACCTGGGTTTGAAACATGTCTCTGTCACTTATTAGCTGTGTGACTTTGGGTGTGTCAATTAATTTGGGCCTTGATTTACTCATCTAAAATGAAGTGGTTGACCTAGATAATCTCTAAGGCCCCTTCTAGCTCTAAATCCTGTGATCCTTGGATTTCTGTTGTTGTTCCATCATTTCTGACTCTCCGTGACCCCATTTGGGGATTTCTTGGCAAAGATACTGGAGTGGTTTGCCATTTCTATACTGTCTTAAAAAAAAGAAATCCATGATAGTGAAACATTTGTACACTCACTGAGATAGATTCTCACTTGTAAATGTATTCACATTTTGCATAAATATAAGGATCAGTGAAGATGGGGTACCAGTGAGGGAGAGTGGAAAGAATGAGAAGAATGGGAGGGCCAGGGGAATCTTGGTAGAGATAATCTATATCTGCAGACTTTCTAATCCTCCTCTGGACTACTTGATTCCAGACAGGATGAAGACTGAGAGAGTCACAACTTATATTTTGAAATTATGGCAGTATAACACAATGACAAGAGGCTATGCTTTTTCTCAGCTGAGAGGTCCTGTGATCGGGATTAATACTAGACCTTTCAAATGTTACAACTTACTTTTTACTTTTAACAGAACACAAAACGTGGCTCATTGATTAGAGCACTGAGCCTGGAGTCACAAAGACCTGAGTTAAAAAATCTGGCCTCAGATACTTACTAGCTGTGTGACGAGGCAAGTCACTTAACCTCTCTTTGCCTTGTTCCACTGAAGAAGGAAATGGCAAACCACTCCAATATCTTTGCCAAGAAAACCCTGTGGACAGTATAGTCCACGGGGTTGTGAAAAGTTAGACACTACTGAATGATTGAACAAGAACAAACACAATTTCATAGTAAATGGAAGTTTTTTTTAGCAAGGCTAACAACCAAGGTAAATAATTGTTCCTTCAGCCCCCCAAACCCCCGCCAAATTACTCTCTTCTCTTTCCACCCCAAATCAAAAAACAGAGCCCATAAAAATAGGAAACGGACCCACATGTACAAAAATATTTATAGCAGCTCTTTTTGTGGTGGCAAAGAATTGGAAATTGTGGGGATGCCCATCAATTGGGGAATGGCTGAACAAGTTGTGGTATATAAATGTAATGGAATATTATTGTACTATAAGAAATGATGAGCAGGGGCAGCTAGGTGGCACAGTGGATAGAGTACCAGCCCTGAAGTCAGGAGGACCTGAGTTCAAATGTGGCCTCAGACCAAACATTTGACACTTACTAGCTGTGTGACCCTGGGCAAGTCACTTAACCCCAATTGCCTAAAACTAAATAAATAAATAAAATTTAAAAAATTAAAAAAAAAGAAATGATGAGCAGGCAGACTTCAGACAATGCTGGAAAGACTTGTATGGATTGATGCTGAGTGAAGTGAGCAGAACCAGGAGAACATCGTACACATTAACAGTCACGTTGTATGATGATTAACTTTGATAGACTTAGCCCTTCTCAAAAATGCAAGGATCTAAGACATCTCCAAAGGTCTCATGATGGAAAATGCTATCCACATCCAAAGAAAGAACTATGGGGTTTGAATGTAGATTGAAGCATACTCTTTGCTATTTTTTTTTTCTGTTTTGCTTTCTCTTTCTTGTGGTTCCTCCTATTGGTTCTAATTCTTCCTTACAACCTCACTAATCTGAAAATATGTTTAATAGGAATGCGTTTATATAGTCTATATCAGATTGCGCGCCGTCTTGGGGAAGGAGGGGGAGAAAAATTTAAAACTCAAAAGCTTATGGAAATGATTGTTGGTAAATCAAAATAAATTAATTAAAAAAAAAAACCAGCCCATCCTTATATGGCCCAAGTGATATATTTTTTCAACTCTACAGTAATTCATGAGGATCAACTACTAAAAGTCTGCAATTTGCACTAATCTGGTCCTGGATCCTTAAAATACTAAAATATCTCACAGGGGATTGGGCCTGGCCCTGTGATTTCATTGGTACAGGAAACTCCCATCTAAGGAAACTCTGTTAATGCAAATTGTCAGCCTCTCTGCAACTTACAATCCTAGAGATTTACCTAAAATATTGAGGTTAAGTTACTTTTGCAGGAGACACACAGCTAGTATGTGTCAGAAGTGGGGTCTTCCTGGCTCCCAGGCCACTCCCTAGCCACTGTGCAGGACTGCCTCTCACACTGTCTTCAAACACAATGTAGCACAAAGAAGGACAGTGGAGTATTTATTCTCAGATACATGGAACCAGCAAGATATTCCCTGCCCAAATCCTTTAGTGCTTACTTGTTACAGTGTATACAGAGCATTTGCTTTTTGTAAACAATTTTTTTAAAAAAAAGTAAAGCCATCCTTCACCCTTTGTGGGCTTTAAATTTTTTTTAAAGCTATACTATTTCTTTTTCCTGTACTGTAGCAATAGGCTTCCATTTTAATGATATAATATAATTATTTTGCTGTCTTTTCCAGCTTATTTAAACAGAATTCTGCCTATAGTAGGTAGTATTTGTTCAACAGAGTTTGATGGGGATAATTGTGACAATGATAAGAAGAAAAATGTCTGTGGTTCCTAAAGGAGAAGTGATTGATTGCCAACCCCTCTTGGAAACCTGAAAATTGCATCCCATAGGCTGTTGCCTGCCCAGGTCTGCACTAGTGGCCAGGTTGGATTCCCCTGCATTTTGATTAAGCCTTCATCTCTTCCTTAAGGGTGAAGGTACCTCTTAGCATCCTGTACCAAACAGCTTGCCCTGTCTTACTCACACCCCTGGCTTTGTTCTTGATGGTTTCTCATCTTTAATTGCTGATCATTGCATTATCTACTAGGGTGTTAGCTCCTTGGGGACAGAAACCAGGTGTCTTAGCTTATCTTTGTAACTCAAGTGCCTAGCACAGTAGGCACCTGATAGGCATTTGATGAAAAAGGTGAATACAAATCAATTAATCTGGGAGACAGACTTGTCTTTCAATGAGCATTTATTAAGCATAGGCTAGATGCCAGATCATGCTCAGTTCAAATAATTATTAAGTACCCACTTTGTGCATGGCCAATATGTTGTGTGCTAAGAATATACAGACAAAAAAAGAAAAATGGGCCTGACTGTGTTGTAGCTCTCAGTGAGGTCGGACAACTGTGTGGCTGTGGAATGTGTTCTGGCATCCCCTTGTGGGGGATTATTCAAGAGAGATTTACATTTCTTAGCAGCAAGGGTGAGAGGCAGCTTGACGTGATGGAAATAGTGCCAGATATGGAATCAGGGTAGACCTAGGTTCAAATCCTGTCTCTGACTCTTGTGTTGTTGTTTTTTTTAATCTAGGAGAAGCACCCTTTCTGAGCCTTAGGGTTTTGGTTTTTGTTTTTTTTTTGGTCTACAAAATGGGGCTAACAAATAGGTGTTGTACTTCCACAGGTACGAATGAGATAATGTTGAGAAAGTAAATGTCTGATGTTGTTCTTACATGGTGCATTTCCTCTTATAGCCTTCTTTAGAATGTTCCTACTTCTTCCTCACTTCTCTCTCTAATAATATCCTTACCCTCCTCTCTGTCTGAAGCTTATATCTCCTCAAAGACTAGCTCAAGTCTGAACTCTTCCATAAAGCTTTCCTCATTCAGTGTGTTTCACAGGGGCAACCAGGTGGTGGGGTGGGCATAGTGGATAGAGCTTTGAGTCTGGAGTCAGGGAGACCTGAATTCAAATCCTGCCTCAGATACCTACTAACTGTGTGACCTTGGGAAATTCATTTAACTTCTGACTCAGTTTCTTCATCTGCAAAATGGGGCTAATACTAGCACCTACCTCTCAGAATTGTTGTGTGAAGATCAATGAAATATTTGCAAAATGCTGGGCATGACGGTGCTTAATAAATGTTCGTTCACTTCTTTCTTTGATACTCCCATAGCCTTTCTCATATGGTCCATAAAGTGTCATGGGTGTCTATCCTACCTTAGCCCAACTCCATGAGGACAGAGCCTATGTCTTTATACTTCCCACAGCACCTAGCAAGGCGCCACATACATGTAATCATAATGTTGAATGTCTCAGTGTTTCTGTACCCTCACTTCTCGGTGAGAATGCACTGAGCATGTTTCTGCTTACAATATGGTAATGTGGGCAAAAAAGTGGCTCTGAGACTATTATCTCTCCCCAGTTACAAGTTGTTTCCACACTGCGTCCCGTCCTTTGGCTTCCGCCATCTGCTGTCTTTAACGGATAAAGTCGATAGCTTCAATGAAGAAGTTAAAAAACAGAGGGTGTCCAGAAACAGAGATGCTCCTGAAGGAGGCTTTGATGCAATTCTCCAGGCAGCTGTATGCAAGGTAAGTTTTTTCAGTGTGTGTGAGTAAAATTAAGCTGTGTGTGTGTGTGTGTGTGTGTGTGTGTGTGTGTGTGTGTGTCTGCACTTCTGTGGAGTTTTGCTTTGTATATGCAGTGTTTTCACACAAATTCGCATGGACTCCAGCCCTTGGCTGTCTTCCACTGTTTGTATCAGAGGGTGTGCCTTAGCAAGAACCTTGAGTAGGTCTATGGCAGTGCACATCTGTAGGGTGATAGATTTGTGTCTCTGTCCCTGGGTGGGGCCATGAGATACTTTTTGGCCAGAGAAGTGCTACTCTGTTCATGCACATGAATGGCTTGTTTATTGTCGCTCAAGGGGAAAGAATTGACTTCATTTATGCTGTGATGTTTAGGGAGCTTTCTAGGATGATTTTTGGGATATACATTGTGACTGTAGCCTCCATGGAAATCTTCACCTGGAAGAGAAGGAAATAAATTTCATGTTCCCTTATTCTTTTAACACGATTGTCTCCTATTACTCTATAATATGAGGAGCTGTATGAGCTCATGGGGAGAGGAAGAAAATCCTAGGTGGGAAGTGACTGATGGTGTATTTTGAGAAATTGTAATGCTATAAATGGTATTATTATAATGGTATAAATGATATAAATGGTAATGTTATAAAATGGTATATAATGGTATAAATGGTTATAAATTTTCATGGATCATGGCTTATTGACTGCCCCAGGAAGACTGGGTAAGAAGAACTATGTAAGGTAGTATTCTCCAATCTTTGTGAGTATGGAGATCCCTTTTTAACTTAAAAGTATTTCTCAGACTCATGCAGGGTAATAGTTATGCTATTAGTATCCATTGACTGAGAAAATACATAATGACTAAAGCTTTGAAATGAATTTGTATCTTATTAATCAATAGCATCTATGCACATTTGAAATAGAGTTATATGATTGTGTATGACATTCAATCTACCAAAAAAAGTCTGCCTAGTTATGAATTTGCTCCTCTCTTCCTATAACTCTTTTTTTTTTCTCCTTCCCCTCCGGGTCTGTGGCCCATGAATTAGAATACTACTGATCTAAAAAATAACTGTACTTGTAGAGAGTAAGTGGTGGAGACCAGATTTGGACAGGGAGGTTAAATGTTTATTGCTCTTTCTTGTTCATTAAATTTTAAGCAAAACCACCTATTCTCAATTTATAGAGGTCTTACCCTTGGGCAGCTTGCTGAGTAAGGCTGGGCTAGCAGTTTTTTCATGCCTTTTGGCAAAGATGCCCTCTTTCCTACCCTTATGGGTCCCTGACAAGGTGATATGACATCCATTGTATTTTTTTAAATAAAAAAACAGCATAAAATAATGCAAGGGCCTTGTGAATATTGGGGGAGGAGGATCATGGTGCTGGTAGTAGCAATCTTCAGACACATTTTCCTGTTGTTGTTTTTTTTTTTTTTGGTCCCAAGGAGATGCTGTTGTTGCACCTTTATTTGGTACCAGTCCTTGCACCCAGATGATAGATTCCTGTCTTTGTGGGAACACTGTAACACTATAGATTCTACCCCCAACACACAGCCCTGGTTAGGGGGTCTCCAGTGCTTCAGTTAGGGATGGCAAGGGTGGTCTCTTCCGCACGATGACCCAAGCCTGACTTCACTGAAATCTTGAGGATTTATGACCTTAATCAAACTGGGAATTGAAGGGTATAAAGGGGGCACGTACAAGAGGCAACTAACTTTACAGGTTTTGGAAAACAGTGCAAGAAACCGTTGTAAGCACCTGCTGTGTGCAGAGCACTGTGCTAGGCACTAGGGGAGATGTAGACTTTAAAACATAGCCTTCAACTTGTGGAGCTCACAATCCAGGCAGGAAATTTGTTCTATGCACAATAATGTATGGTAAGTGCATTAAGAGAGGCATAAGCAAACTGCTATGTGACATCTAGGACAGGTTGGGAGAGTATCGTGAGGTGTTTTAAGGACAGTTTTCTGAAGGGAATGCTATCTGAGTTGGGTTTGAAAGGTTGGGTCGGTCTTAGAAAGAGATCTTAATGTTTTTGACTGGTAATCCGATGTTGGCTTACTTAGCCTTTGAAATATCTGTATATTTTAGAGTTTTGTTTTCCAGGATGCTCTGTCCTCAGTGCAATTCCAGGCCTTGGCAGGGGACATGTAGTTCAGGAAGGACATGGGACTTCAATGGATTCTTTGTTCATTGTTGAAGGTTAGAGCAAGAACTAAATGACAAATCCCAACAATGGCTTGTTCTCTTAATTAAAATGATTAATTCCTGGCACTAGAAACATCTTTTTGGTTCAGTCTATTCAAAGGTCTTCTGGACTGTACCTGATTAGCCCCAGGTAGGTGAGCATATGCCTTGTCTTCAAAGGTCGCTAGAGAAAGAGATGCTACAGGTTCCCTGATGAGCAATTATGTCTTAGTGACAGTGGCAACATTACTGATTGGGAAGGTGTTGTATTTTCATATGTCCCTCTAAAATCTGTTGAAATTAAAATTTTCTCTCCTTCATGGATGTTGTAGAATTGGATACTTTGTTGTACCATATCCCTCTCTCCTGGGCAGATGTGTGGGTAGGGATCAATGAATATGGAACAGACTGGTTGATGTGTTTGTTAGTTTTGGTGAATAACTTCCCCTCTCCCCCTTTTAAAATTCTATGTCATAAGGTATTGCTCATGGGATAGGGAAGAGCGGAGGGAAGTTTTTGGAAATGAAAGTGATGTAAAAACAAAAGCTATCCATTTTTTAAAAGTTATCAATTACTCAGAGTGGGGCATTCAGTAGTCAAGGAACTTCTCTAGTTTTTCAGCTTTCCTTTCAAGTGAGATAATGCATGTAAAGCACTTTGCAAACACTATATAAATGCTAGCTGTTATTATTGCCGTTATTATTGCTGTCACTTTGTTTTTGAGAGCCTGTGAGTAAATGGTTGTCTTTCTTGTACTTTGATCCACTGTCCATTTTATGCCCAGCTACTTATTTCAGAAGCTATCGATAGCTTGCTGAACAGAATTTTTCAGTCTTCTGATTTGGCCAGAATAAAGGACCCTCCATTTCTCATTCATTTGGCTAAACTGAATGCTCCCAGGTGATAAGGGCCTACCAGCCCCCACCCCCTGTGGGAGCCTGACAAGGGCTTCAGTGTGTGTAGGCAGTCAGTCTACCCCTTTACAATGCACAGTGTTTCATTAGAACCATATGCCCTTGAGATGGAAATGATAACTATTCCTATCTCATGCTGCTACAGCAAGTTCTTTGTTTGGGTTCTATGCTGATGCTGGTTTAACCAGGAGAGATTTTTAGCTGCATGGGGTTTAAGGGTGAGGAATGGTCATGTCTGGGGACTTACGTCCCATCTATATAGCCCAGCATTGATGGAGACTTCATTTATAAAGAAGAAAACCACCTGTTTTTAATGGGATTTCCTTAAAGGTCAGTTTTAATTTTGCTTTGAGTGAAGTTGAATGATTCTGTCTCATCCTCCCCCCATCTCCCAGAGCAGCCACTTTGCTGGGTGAGGCATTGTAGTAAATGTCCAAAGCTGGGAATGCCTCTCTAGCCAGTGCAGGGATTTGTCCTGATGGAAGTGGACTGTGCTGGGTTGGGAATAGCTCGTATTTATCATATTTAGACCTCGAACCTTAGTCTTCCTGGCTTCAAGACCCGCTGTCTAAGCAAGACTGCCTCACTGTTTTTGAGTTAGGTACTGCAAATAGAGCCAGGCTCATCATTGAATAGGAGAAGGAAATTGGGCTGCATTGCCTTTGGGGAACTGGGCCATCTGCTTAGTGATCTCCAACTGCAGGGCGCTACAAAAGCTAATCCCTTTTGTATCAGTCACTACTCCTTCAGTGATGCAGAATGGCTGTAAGTCTCTCAGCAGAATCCAAATTATGCCAAAGGGCAAAGGAAAGACCCAAGATGAACATAAGCAGGCTGCAAGTCGTTACCATTGGCGACTTGTGTGTAAGAAGTATTTTTAACTCTATTATCAAGGCCAAGTATGACTAGGTTATAGAAATGCTTGTTTTATCCCATCAATTAAAAATTAAATAAATAAAAATTACAAAAAGAAAACATGACTTATATAATGAGATATAAGAGTTTTCTCAAAGCTCAAGTACTTTGTTAGTACTGCTGATATATTAGTAGGATCATAGATTTAGAATGGGAAGGGACCTTGGGAGCCATTTAATTCAGTTCATTTCACAGACAAGGAAGCTGTGGCCCAGAGAGTTTAGGTAACCTGCCCAGAGTTGTACAGGTAGTAAGTGACGTAGGTGGTATTTCAATCCAGTTGTCATTTCAGTCTGTTCGACTCTGACCCCTTGTGGGATTTTCTTGGTAAAGATACTGGAGTGGTTTGCTATTTTCTTCTCCAGATCATTTTATAGATGACGAAACTGAGGCAAACAGGGGTAAGTGACTTGCCCAGGGTCACACAACTAGTGTCTGAGGCCAGATTTGAACTCAGGAAGATGAGTGTTCCTAACTGCTGGCCCAGCGCTCGGTGCACTATGGCGCCACTTAGCTGCCTTAAAATAACACTATGGCAGTTAGCTCTGTTCAGCAGTCATCCTTAGTCAATTGAGAGCATTTATTAAGCACCTACTATGTGTGGGCACTGGAGATAGGCAAAAAATGAAATAATCCCTGAACAATGTAGGGTCTTGCTTTTGTGTTCATCATTTGGGTGGTTTCATTTGTTCTTTCAGTCACAGTTCTAGAGCTGGAAGGGGTAATTTGGTTCAACCCCTTCACTTTGCAGATGAGGACATTGAGGCCCAGTGAGGTCAAGTAACTTCTCCAAGGTCATACAGGTCATAAGAATCAGAGGTAGGATTTGAACTCAGATGATGATATTCATGATAACAATAACAATGATAATAGTTAACACTTACATAGCACCTACTATGTGCCAGGCACTGTGCTAAGTGCTTTATCGTTATCTCATTGGATACTTATGACAACCCTTGGAGGTAGGTGCTATTATTATTCCCTTTTTATT